ATTAGGTAGAGGAGAAGTGCCGTGCTCGGATAAAGCAAACATGCATGCCATTTATACTTCAGACGTATTTTAAAGATTTCAAAAATTTCTCCAAATCCCCGAATGATAGATACCGAAGCTGAGTGCGTTTAATACGATTCAAAGTTCTTGAGCATATTGGCATTCGTTTTTGATTTGATAAATTTGATGAAAATTAACACCGACATTGACAATGGGACTAATTTCGATACTGAAACATTATCAAGTTTGACGAACTTGAAAATTTCCACTTTGTTCGTGAGCGCCTTCAGGGACTCTAAAGCTTGAATGTGGCAAAAGAATCACAACTGGAAAGGTATGGTGAGTTTACAGGTTGCTTCCATGCTCTAACCAGAATTTGGATATTGCAAACACGAAATATTCTCCTTGAATAATAATTGTTAAGTTAACGTACTTGTTCAGTGAGTTTGTTGTTGTGTCTAACAAGAAACACATACCATGTTATGATTTGAAGAAGATGGACGATGGTTTGGTAGAGTGTGCATCACTGAAGTGAAGTGATATCAAGAAGTCATGATTTGAGGAGTGCAAGTGGAAATAAAAAATCAAGTTTAGTTACTCATTAACTGCGATGATCTCGACGAAACATTTCTCTAGCATGAGCAGAACTTTCACGGTTGTTCATTTATTACATCTCAAATTACTTCTATCGAATGACACTAGACACTTGCAGACTCGTTAATATTCGTCTACATCTTAATTGATTACTTCGTACCGTCCACGACCACATTCAAGCACATGAATGTTGCGAACTCTTATCGGAAATTGTTTGTTCATCGTGACTGTATTCTCGTAATTTCTGCTTTCAACACTGCTATCCAAACTAAACAGTGAATCAAATCCTCCAATGAATGAGTAGTGCCCTTGAAGTGCAAATCACCAGCAACAATTATTTTGTCGCATTTTCGTGCAATTGTGTATGTTGATTTCTGTTCAATCCTTATTCTTAAATAAGTTTTCTCGCAACAAATTCTTCATAAATCCAATAAATGGTGACATTCGTTTGCATGTGTGATATGTGCAGTACAAAAAAAACGGTGTGTGCGTTGTGAATATAAATAATGAGAGACGAGGAACGAAAGTGTAGTGAAAAGTGTTTATAACACAGCAAACGAATTTGAATGAACTGAAGCAAAAAAAANAAAAAAAAGGTAAGAACGAGAAGTGTAAATGAAAAATCCAATAGCACCACGCACACAATGTTTTGTGTGAATTCGCGAATCGCGCGCGGCGTTGAATAAAACCAAATCGGAGTTCGTCTTGTCGGTTAGTCGGTCGGTCGTCGAATAATGAAAATGATTCTTTTTCACGATGGATGATTGATCACGATGAAGTGAGCGAGTGGGAAATTCCGGAAAACTTCAGCGGAAAGACACACACAATAAACATACAAACATATGCATGTGAACACAATGAACACAGAAATTGCACATTAGACTATGCGAATTCTGGGATAGCAGAATGACACTTCACGATGGAGCTGAAGTTTCATTGTAGGAAAATAGAGTTGGTGAGTTTCGATTGATTAGGCCATTGATCACCGGAAAGATTTGCGGAGAAATGGCAGAGGAAGCATGTCTGAATGGTGTGTGCATTCCGTGAGTAATCAAGAAATCAGCACATACCGAACCTATTCAACACCATCGATGAGGAGTTTCACTCGGAATTTTCCAACTCAATATGCAACTGAGTGAAGTATTTATGAATAAATCTGCTGAATGTATCACAAAAGCATCTTTTATTATGTTGTTGATCATAGATGGAAATTTCCTACAAAATAAGCTTTTGTGATCACAGAAATGAATGAATTGTTCCGAGTTGTTGGGTTCGGTATTGCTTCTGACTGAGTGATGAGAAAGGAACATCTGAACCAATCGTTGGACGGTGGTTGGAAAAACGAGAATAATGAGAAGCATGATGACTTTACAATGCGATCGAGCGACAGTCCAAAAAAAATCACCGAATAATCAGGGTAACTGATCAGATAAGAACAATTAAGATGAAAGTGATAGTGATGATAAAAGATTTGATAAGATAAGGCTACGTTGAAAGTCATTTCGTATCGGTCAAACAACCAATTACACACACACACACATTAAACAAACACAAAAACTTAAGACGAACGCACGAACAATATACTAATGAGAGAATATTAAAACGATCGCGATTTCCAGTGCTAAAGAATTTGTGCTGAACGTGATTTATGTATACGTGGCCTACTCGAAATTTAGCAGTGATTAGTTGATAATATTGTAACAAAACGAACGGTTGACATAAAGCACTCTTGAACCGTATACAGGTGCTGTACAGGCACAATCGAACATATAGCAGTGATAATGAACGATGATTATAATAATAATACTGCGATTATGTGTCATTAGGAAGTTGCGCAATCAAAACAAGACATCATAAACGATGATATTATGAACTTGTATTGAACAGATTTGAATTTTGAAAAATACAAAATAAAACAATGAAAGTTTATGCGTTTCGCATTGCCGGAGTTTTATCGAGCTCCTTCGTTATATTTAACTGATTGTATGGCTTGAGCGTTGAATATGAGTAGCACGTTCCTGGAACAAACAGATAGCAATTTGAAGTGTCATTCATATTTTTACTTGTCAGTGTCTTTAGAGTGACTTTAGAACTCATTGGAATGGGAAGAATATTCGTAAAAAATTTGATAATTTTGAATGACAGAACAGACTGAAGTTGATTTTTGAATTGTACAATTTTTTTTGCTAGATGGAATTATTGGTAAATTAGAGTTGCGCTCAATTAGGGTGAATGAATAAGCGTGCTGCTCACCTCTCCTTCCCTATTGAAAAGAATCGTTTGAACGTTGGATCCTGTGCCAAACGAGTCTTCCATATCGAAGACCAATTGGTCTGGAGGACTATGGATTCCGCCTTGGCCACGAGCCCAGATCTGTACGAAATGACTGACGTTTATTCATTTGAACTAATTGAAGTTCATCTCACATTCTTTTCACTTTTCCATTTATTATGAGTGTAATCACAATAACGTGCTTCATAATTTTGATGTTCTGGCATGATTTTTGCCACTAACTTCGAAAATTTCAATTCATAGCAATAATGGCCAGTAAAAATCAACTTCAGTCTGTTCTGTCATTCAAAATTATCAAATTTTTTACGAATATTCTTCCCATTCCAATGAGTTCTAAAGTCACTCTAAAGACACTGACAAGTAAAAATATGAATGACACTTTAAATTGC